GGGAAAGGTCCCTCAAGTGTCCAGTTAGAGCCTGGCCAAAAAGGTGAGGACTGTCTTGGAAGCCTTGTGATAGGGCAGTCCAAGTATATTGGCTGCGGACGGAGTGTGGGCATCCGTCCAGGTGAAAGCAAATAAAAATTGAGATTGAGCTAGTGGAATACAAAAGAAGGCATCCTTTAAGTTCAGAACAGTGAACCATTTAGTCCCTGAGGGGATTACTCCCAGTAGGGTATAAGAATTACTGCCTCATTAATACTCAAGTCTTGAACTAACCAGTACTGCCCAGATGGCTTTTTGACTGGTAAAATGGGTATATTACAGGGAGAATTGCAGGGAATTAAAAGCCCATGCCTGGGGCTGGCCGAGTGGCTCCGTTGATTAAGAGCACAAGCTCTGAGCAACAGTGTTGCCGGTTCAATTCCCACATGGGCCAGTGAGCTGCACCCGAGCTGAGCTGCCGCTGAGCTGCCAACAGGTGGCAGGATGGCTCAGCTGGTGAGAGCACGTGCTCCTAACAACAAGGTTGCCGGCTGGACTCCCGCATGGGATGGTACGCCCACCCACAACTAAGACTTAACATGGCACCTTGAGCTGAGCAGCCGCTCAGCCGACGGGTGGCAAGATGGCGACTGGACTTGGAGCTGAGCTAGCTGAGCCCTCCACAACTAAGATTGAAGGACAACAACTTGGCTGTTCCTCTTCCCCAATTCCCCAATTAAATCTCTAAAAAAAAAGCCCATGCCTGAGGGACTTGTTGATAGTTGGCTGAAGCCCAAGAAGAGCCTCCCTGCTGCTAATGGGGTATTGAGGCTTACAGGGAAAATAGGGGGGCCCTTCAGCCTAATCCGTGCTGGAGTTAGATGAGATGCTCTGCTGGGAGTTTCCTGATCCCAGACAATGGGGTCTGTTTTCTGATCCAGGGAGGAATTGTAGACAGGTCATGTTAAATGCTTGAGAAGGGAAGATAGGCTGCAGCGCAGCTATTAAAGTAGGGCTAGGAGAGATTTGGAGGGAAGCTTGTAGCTTCTGCATAATGTCTCACCCCAAAAGAGGTATAGGGCATTGAGGCATAATTAGAAAGCTACGTGTAAAAGCAAGGGACCCAAAGCAACAAGGTAAAGGCTGGGTCCGTCTGCNGGCCCTCTGGCGTCCCAAGCCAGCTCTTAACCAACATGTCACTCGGCCCGCCCTCAACGACATTTTGAACAGAGAAGAAACAAACACTGAAAGAGGTGGATATAATGAGTTAGGTTTAGATGTGTTAAATTTGATGTGCTTATGGGAAATTTTAATGGAGGACACCTGTCTGCTCAGGAGACAATTAGGTTAGAGAGATTTCAGAGCTGTCAGCACATAGGTGGTAACTGAAGCCATGAGAGTGATTGGTATTACCCAGGGTGCTGGTGCAAAGCAAAAACCTCGGGGGAATATATTAAGGATCAGTCAAAGTAAGCCCACAAAGGAGGCAGGAGTGGCCAGAGATGTAAGTGGACACTGGGATAGACTAGAGCATGAAGCCAAGGGGCAAGTTCCTTCAATTCCTTGGACTCCCATGTTTCAGGACAGGGAACATGTTTCAGACACAAGAGTCTTAGAGTGCTGCTGAGTTTTTGGGGGGAGGACTGCTGATGACATCACTATTCCAGACCTTCAGGATTTCTCCCAAAGGAAATATCCAAGATTTTCCCTTTCCACAACACTGCCTCTGAGGCTTGTACTCGAGTTATTTTCTCCGGTTTATTTTGACCCATTCACACATGTCTTCAAAGTTGATGTAGTAGGTTCCCAGGACCTAATTAATTTTCAATCTATTTGAAAGGTTATCAGGATTCCCCAGGCTTGTCAACAGTTTTTCCCTCCACAATCTTGTGACAAAGTTCTCTTGCTCCGGTGTTCTCAAATTGCACTGCCAGCCGAGAAACCCTTCCTTGCTAGCAGATTAGGCTGTTTCTCTTTGACTTACCAAACATCCAAAACTCTTGACTTCCTACCAAGAAGTCAGCCTGGGGAAATCAGGATACTTTCAGTTGCATGTAACAGAACAGCTTACCTAACTCAAGCTGGTTTAAATACTAAGGAAAATTTGTCTCGTAGTTGGAAGATCAGAGTTTAATGGAATCTAGGGTTGGCCTCAAAGATATCCTCAGAGTCTGTAGTTCTTTTCATCTCCGCTCTGCTGTCAGTGTGTTGGCCGGGCAGTCATGCTCAGGCATTTCCAGACCTCACACCCAGACACCACAACGTCCAAATGGAAAAGGATCTATCCTTGTATCTCTTAGAAGTGAAAATACCTTTCCCAGAGCCATCCTCCACAACCTTCACATTTTGGTGCCAGTGATTGGGTCACATGTCTATTGGCCAGGCTAAAACTAATTATTTGGAATAAAATGGATGTTGGGAATCAAATCACCATAACTGGATTCATGGAAAGAGGTGAAATGTATCAAGTCTCTGTAATAGCCATGAAATTCCAGCTGTCCTAATTACCCCACCCAAGTATTTACCCTGTACTCAAACACACCTTACCAATATTCACAATTGATGGTTGTTTGATGTTAATTATTATTCAAATAGTTGAAATCTCCATACCTGTAGCTGATTTTAACCTCTATATGAGACTTCATGCAGCCCTGGGATTGTTAAAGCTTTTAGATGATAATCACAAAAATTCATAAAATATCTTTTTGCATCTCTTTACTTTCAGTCCATATGTGTCTTTCCATCTGAAGTGAGTCTCTAGTAGATAGCATACGTAAGGGTCTTGTTTTCTTATCAATTCAGCTACCCTATTTTTTGGTTGGGTACAACATTTACATTGAAAGTTATTATTGATAGATATGTAGTTACTGCCATTTTATTATTCATATTTTTTTTCTTCTGAAATATGTACCTCTAACATTTCCTATAATGCTGGTTTGGTGTTGATGAACTCTTTTAGTGTTTTCTTGTCTGGGAAGCTCTTTATCTGTCCTTCGATTCTAAATGATAGCTTTGCTGGGTAGAGTAATCTTGGTTGTAGGTCCTTGCTTTTCATCACTGTGAATATTTCCNCAGCTCCAAGTCAAGTAGGTTATTTCAATCTAGTTGTCGAGGGCGCAGCTTAACTCCAAGTCCATTCCTCGTTTTCACTCTAGTTGCGGGGGGCGCAGCCCACCATCCATGTTGGAGTCCAACCGGCAACCTTGTTAAGAGCACACGTTCTAACCAACTGAGCCATCTGGCCACCCACCGGCCAGCTCAGTAGCAGCTCAGCTCAAGTTGTTGTCTTCAATCTAGTTGCGGAGGGCACAGCTCACTGGCCCACTTGGGAATCGAACCGGCAACCTTGTTGTTCAGAGCATGTGCTCTAACCAACTGAGCCACCCGGCCGCCCCCAATATTGTCTTTTTTATTAACTGGTGTCCTATGAGTTTAATTCAGAGAATATTTTGATACTTTTTAAAAAATATTTTTCCTGCAGCTATTCTCAATGTCCAGTTTTTAGCTTCTAGCTGAATTCCAGATTAATAACACTGTGGTCTCTAAAAATCTAAATTTTTGTCAATGATGCGTCTGCTAGTTTTTTTCAACAAAGTCACCAAGGAAAGGGGCTAAGTATGGATATATCTGAAATTTGCAGTAGTGTATAAGTATAAACTGTATGAACATTGACCCTTTGATAACAGACAGTGGTGACTGAGGATGTTTGAAACATTCAAGCAATCCCTTTCTCTGCTTTGATTAAACTAAGTGTGTGATACATTTCTTCCCTGAAGGAATTCCCCACAGTTGACTTCTAGAAAGGTATTGGGTTGTCGGAAAAGTCATGACATATTTTTTCTATGTTTTTTGTTGCAAAAGCGCATCATGATTCTTCCAGCAACCCAATATTTGTCAGTTCTCATGTTGTACATAACTTGTTACATAACCATTTAACCATGGTGTAGTGAGTATTAAGCAACAAAACAAGTGCTTCTTGACAGAGGTTTTCCTCTTTAGTAATCCTCCTATCTTCCCAGCTACCATAAGCCAGGACCACAGAAGCACATGGCCTGATTAGAAACNTTATTGGATTGGATTATCTCCATTTACAAATGAATAAGTGAGATTTTTGGTGATCAAGTAACTTTCCAGGGTCACAGTTTGAGGTGGAGCTAGCCCTTGAATCCACATACACCCTCCACAATCACATAACATATTTACTGAGCACCTGCTGTGCCAGGTACTGTTCTATCAGCAAGAGATAAGCAATGTGCATATCAAATAGAAACCTTCATTCTCATGGAGCTCATATCCTACTAAATGCCAGACTACTAATTATGTTCAACACTTCTTAAATCTAAGTACCTGAAGAAGGGGATTATGAATAAATACATAATATTTATAAGGAGTTATTTACTTAAATGTATATTATGAGGTGTGATTAAACAATATGGTAATAAAAAACGTATTACAGTAAAAGATACATTGCTATTAATTCCCCTCAAAATACTCCCCCTTGCTTTGCTTCAAACATACTTATCCCATCGTTCTTGCCACTTTCTGAAACAGTTCTGGAAGTCCTCTTCCGTGAGTGTCTTTAGTTGTGCTGTCATGGCTGCTTCTATGTCCTGAATCATTTTGACTTTGGGGAAGAGCCAGAAGTCGCACGGTGCCAGATCCAGGGAATAAGGTGAATGAGGACACACTGTAACGTTTTTATTTGACAGAAATTGCCGTACCAGAAGTGATGTGTGGCATGGAGCGTTGTCATGATGGAGGATACTTTACTGCACGCTTTAAAACACACCTCTCACACCCGCCTGACTGCACTGAACAAGTTGAAACTTGTCACACACAGTTACTAAGGTTTGACACGCCGTTTCCCATATTGAAGATTGCTGCAATCGAGTGCTTTCCGCTGGATGGCACTCGGCAGCAGCATTCACTGTATTTTGTGATCACAATGGAAAGTTTCCGTGTCACACATNGGGTGGGCCAGTGCTTATTTAGATGTGACAAACGTGAGCTACCAAAAGCCAGTTCCTGAAAATGTGTTTTGCTTTAATTTTTTCTTTCACAGCTGAAAATGTAGCCAAAAAATGGAAAGTGAGTAGAGAAGAGCAGGACCAGGTTGCAGTTCTGTCCCAGAACAGGACAGAGAAGGCACAGAAAGCCGGTCATTTTGACAAAGAGATTGTACCAGTTTTTGTATCTTCTAGAAAAGGTAGGTATATCATGATTTAAACATTAGCATTGCTATTTATAGGGAAGAGTAATATCCAAAAAAATAATATATGGGACTGCTTATAAATTTTCTTAGTTATATCTTGCAGGCTGCAAAGAAAAGATACATCCTGCATACATATGAATGTGGGTTGCGGGTGGAGGGTATTTATGGGGTGAGTAAACATGGGAAGTTGTGCCAGCATTCACATTCTTGGTCCCTGAGTGTCCACACTGCTGTGTAGATAGAGCGGGTTTCATGAGAAAGAGGAGCATTGGCTCGTCGTGGTTGTCTGGAGGCATCAGCTGACCTTTTGCCCTTACAGGCTACATCTCCTCAGAAGTAAGCATCCATTACTTCCTGTTGCTTCTGTGGGCATTTCATATTTCTTGGGTGGACCTTCTTGGGCCACTTTGCTATTACCTAATATGGAGTGCTCCAGTCAAGTTCTGTTACTGATAACTGATGTCTCCTATGAGATTGGCTTTGATACTCGCCCATCCATTCTGTTGTAACCAGCCAAGTCCTATGCCCCAAACCATAGCAATGTTTTGTGCAAAGAACTCTTGGTGACTGACTTCCTCAGAAAGGGCTATAGATATGGAAATAATTTTTATTAGTGTGTTGTTCCTATTGGAATGAAAGTTTTATATTTTTATTAAAAATTTTTTTTTATTTTTTATTGAGGAATTGGGGAAGGGGAACAGCGTTGAGGAATCGGGGGAGGGGAACAGACAAGTTGCTGTCCTTTTAGTTCTTAGTCTAGTTGTGGAGGACATCACTTCACTGGCCCATGTTGGTATTATTGCTCTCTTCCCGGCTGAGGCAGATCGGTCGCTGGCCATTGGACGGCNATGAAAAGGCCAAGAAGACAGTTCCTTCTTAAGGGATTAACTTGGTGGAAAAGAAAGCTTATACCCATAACGTGTAGAACAGCACAAGGTAATATGTATTCAAGGGCTGGACTATGGCAGATGTCGAGTGCACATAGGCCTTTTTGCCGCTGGTGGAGCTGAGCTGGGTTTGGCCTGGCAGTGGCAAGAGACCCAGCTTGCAGTCGCCTGATTTTTGCATGTCCTTCTACCCAAACATTTTGTTTTTCTCTTTGTTTGCTGACAGTTCTCTGTTTTCCTTCTTCTAGGCTGTGGACAGAATCCTGTTCGACAAGCCAGTGTGGGTGCAGGGGTCCCCTACTCTGTGCCAGCATGGAGCTGCCAAATGATTTGTGGTTCAGGCCTAAAATCTGTGTGCCTTGGAGCACAGTCAATCGGGGTAGGAGACTCCAGCATTGTGGTTGCAGGAGGCATGGAAAGTATGAGTAAGGTAAGGGCTCTGAGGAGATGGTTTTCACTGACTTCTTGCTAATAAATCCGTGTTCATGCTGTAGTAGAGTAAATTGATGCACATCAGAGCTGGAACCAAACAGTAAACAAATAAACAGAAAATGGATTCAACCTTGAGCCCTACCTAAATGTTAAATTACTTTCGACTTGGATGGGAAATCCAGGTTGAAGAAAAAACCTATCAACCAGTGTGATTGGAACAGAAGACAGTTTTTCTAAAATGTTACCAAAGTGTAGGATACTTTCTGAATTAAACCTATAACATTAGTTGGTAGATATTCTTGGTCTTAACTTTCTTACTCATTGAGAGGGAAAAGTGAAAAAC